TGACTAGAGCGGCCGCGATCAGCTCCGGTTCCCGTGGTGCCGTAACGCGCCGCAAACGTGTAGTGAGGCGCAGATCAGCTGCTGTTAAAAATGAAGCATCTATTCATCATATCATCATGCAAAACATACACGACAAACAGCAAATTTTTCATTGTTTCTTGAAACGTCATAACATTTCCACACCGGCGATGACATGACTGCGGCGCCAAATCATTTATTTCCCCACGCATCATGTACGTCGTCACGCATTGACGTCATCAAATTGCGATCGGTTCCTGAGATTGGCCAAGTTGGTGAGTACCGATCAAGTCATAAAATGATTATCGGCCGATCGATCGGAGCATCCCTACTTCCTATTGACTGATGTGTAGATGTAGGTTATAATAGCAGTAGGGTGTTACACCCTCCTTCTGTCATGCATTAGGAAAGAATCCATCCCAAGTCCTATTCTTCTCTCCACAGGTTGTCCCATACACATACACCTTTCTCACTGCAGCTTGTTGCCATAGGAACAGTCCTGAAGCAGACATGTGCTCTGGTCTTCTGATTAGGCCTGATGCGATAATTAAATAACCGTCTAATCTCGATTATTTGATCTAACCACGTTTTTTTCAGACAACCACGATTATTGTGCTTTTTATATGGCACAACGGTGAGTCATCCACCAAAAGATACAGAAGAGCACCAGTTTGGTTTTCATGCACTGTATAGCTATATCATCTGAAGCCATTCCATATCTTAATGTGAGGGACAGAATTATATTTACATTGTTAAATTTAAGTTTACAGAAACTTCTGCTGCAGCTGTCAGTTATTCTCCGCTCAGCATTCAAACAGCACGTCACGTTCAGTTATGACAGTCAGCACGGTAAAACTCTCTCTCCAAGATGATAATTCCCATTATAATACTTGATGTGTAGATAACGGTCTGGGGATTTGCATAAAATGACATCTTGCTGGAGTTCATTGCTCTCTCATTTTTCTTCTCTTGTAACTTTACCGTGTGGAGTGCAGTGCGTTCGGTATTGGCCAATTCTTAGAATCTGGAATACTCTATGTAATCTTACACTGCAAATAATAACTCAAAAAAGATTAAAAGATAACATCATAATTATTTACTAAACCTTTAAATTAATCACAATTATATAATGAAAGCCATAAAAACCATACAATTAATCGTCATAATTGCCAAAGCCCTAAAACAGACAATTAATCGCAATAACCGTGACTATTTTTAGACAATTAATCGTCAGCCAAATTTCATAATCGTGACAGCCCTACTTCTGAGTCCACTCTCCATGTCTGGCTTAAAAAAATAATAAAAAATGAAGCGTGAAGATCTGTACATTTTAGTCGTGCCAGAAATAGCTGCCTCAAGCCTTCCCCAGAGGCCCACGTCTGACTTATCGGTGGCACTAGACGGCTATATCTATGAGCCACTCAGGAAGAACAGGCCTCAGCGCTGCTGAGACTCGTTCATAGCTTTATTTGGAGTTCATAGTGGTTGAATCAGCAGAAACGTGTACCTTTTACCCCGAGGCTACATTTTAAAATGTCTACTGCTTTATGTTCAGGATGCAGAGGTGCTCAGGTCAGTGCATTAGACGCCAGCTGATCTCTGTTGTCATGCATAATGGAGTTCAGCTGCGTTTGGATTTGGTGTAAATGCATGTACCTCCATTTCCTTCTGGCTGTCTGTGTTAGCCATGCTAACTCTCTTCTCTGTCTCCCTCTGTTCTTCAGAAATGAGTCGCCAGACTGCCACAGCGCTGCCCACAGGAACCTCGAAGTGTCCCCCTTCTCAGCGCGTCCCTACCTTGTCGGGCACCACCGCATCCAACAGTGACCTTGCCAGCCTGTTCGAGTGCCCGGTCTGTTTTGACTATGTGCTGCCGCCCATCCTGCAGTGCCAGAGCGGCCATTTGGTTTGTAGCAACTGCCGGCCCAAACTCACCTGCTGCCCCACCTGCAGAGGCCCTCTTGGTTCAATCCGCAATTTGGCCATGGAGAAAGTGGCCAACTCAGTGCTTTTCCCATGCAAGTATGCCTCATCGGGCTGCGAAGTCACCCTACCGCACACAGACAAGGCTGAACACGAGGAGCTTTGTGAATTCCGGCCATACTCTTGCCCCTGTCCTGGCGCCTCCTGCAAGTGGCAGGGATCTCTCGACGCCGTCATGCCCCACTTGCTGCACCAGCACAAGTCCATAACCACGCTACAAGGTGAGGATATTGTCTTCCTGGCCACAGACATCAACTTGCCTGGGGCGGTGGACTGGGTCATGATGCAGTCATGCTTCGGCTTCCATTTTATGCTCGTGCTGGAGAAGCAGGAGAAATACGACGGCCACCAGCAGTTCTTTGCCATCGTGCAGCTGATCGGCACACGGAAACAGGCGGAAAACTTCGCCTACCGGCTGGAGTTGAACGGCCACCGGCGGCGACTCACCTGGGAAGCGACGCCACGTTCAATTCACGAGGGCATCGCCACCGCCATCATGAACAGTGACTGCCTTGTGTTTGACACCTCCATTGCTCAGCTGTTTGCAGAGAACGGCAACCTGGGCATCAACGTCACCATATCCATGTGCTGAGGACTAACAGCCGTGCATACTTGAACGCATACACACACATACAAACATGAAACCAGACATTTCAATACACCGCAGGATACCTTGAGTTGTGCTTGGGGGACGGGGGGAGTAGCTAACCTAAGGAACTTTTTGCTGTTGTTCGTTCCGAGTAGTCATCAAAAAAAAAAAACTGTTATTGGTTGGAGCTTGGCACGCCAATCCAGAACTCCTGGGTTCTCAATTTTATGCTACAATATTATATAAGTTAAATAATTAATGTATTCTACATTTTCGAGAGCAACATTCATTGCCCTTGAAGGTGTCGGAAAGCCACGTTTGTGGGATGGACATTTGCAAATGTGGCATTTGGAACGAGGGTTTGAGGAACGGCACGCTGAGCTGGATGGCGGTTGGGAATATTGATCAATTCTGGGATGGGTTTGCTCACAATGCGCAACCCTTAGAGCAAGTTTTTGTTCGTTCTGTTGTTGTTTCCCAAGACGTTTTGCATTTCAGTTCAGATAAAACACTAACTTTTATGTTCAAATATTAGGTTTTGTTTTATTCTAATCTTGCCCCATCCCACCACCCCACCCCACCCTACCCTTTTTTTGTTCCCTTTAATTTTTCCTAACGTCAGTATGATACAGAAAGGTTCTGGTAATCGGTGCATGACCACTGGATAAGTTATAACAAGTCCAGATTTCATTTTAGAAGTCTTGTTTGTTTCTGCCTGTCGCTGCAGTGTTTCTCCTGTTTGTTTTTGAAGGGATGGCTTGGCACACGCACATCAAGCCGGGTTATAAATGCCACACTTCTTTGTTTTTTTTTATATCAAGTACACTTAAAAGATAGATACAAGTTGTACAGTATGTGTGAGATCATAAGTTTTGTTTCCTAACCTGGAAGCCCTCAATTACAAACACTGGAGTCAACACTGCATTGAATATCAGGCTAGGAACCGGGGCAATTAATACAGTTATTATAATGAGATTATTGTCATAATTATCATTCTGTAATGACTTATAAGAAAATGGAATGAAAAAGGCTGTTGTAAACTTGTGGCTAATCTTCAGTGTTTGTAGATAGTGTTGTTCTTCAGAAGACATCAGTGTCTTTTCTCTTTTTGTAAGTCGATATTTTTGTTGCTGTTGTTCTTTATGTCTGTATTTCTGTTTTTTGCAAGGATAGGGTGAAGCAAAGCCAAACATCTCTGTGGATACATTGTACAGTTGCTAGTCCTGATCTCTAATTTTATTTGTTTTGTTTGTTTTGTTCTATTTTGCCAGTAAATAAATCTATCTTTTTCATACCCTCTGTGAATTTTTCTCACTGCTCATTCTAAATTACAGCTGATGGTGATGCTGGCTTCATGTGGTTCCCGCTCCACCTCATCCGTGAGAATGACTCTACCAACTAGTTGTTACTTTGCATTGTCCTTGTTAGTTTGTCTGATAATGTGGAACTTGCTTTTTAACATGTAAACCTAAAACTATAATATTACTTTACATCTGACATTAAATTGCATTGTGTGCAACATTCATTTTTTCTTAATATGTTTTTAATTTCATGACTTTTTAGGAATGTCATCCTATTGAAGAAAATGAATGAATTGGAAATATTCAGAACCAAGACTGCTGGCAAAGTGGTTATTGTTTTGTGGTTTCCTCTTATAAGATCAGAATTAATATGTATTTTCCTTATGATGAACATCCTTGACAGGATTTTCACTGAACGTTTAAGCTAAAACGTGTCGCCAACATTGCCTAATGGAACTACAAAATGATTTTTCGTTTCATTTTTCATCTACAAAATGCGATTTCCCAATCTTCCACTGGTTGGACAAATGTAGTTCAACCCCAATCTCACAATATTGGTAGAGTCAATAAATGTTGTTGGTTAGGATGCTCAAACAAGTAGCGCCAGCATTTATACTTTTCTTGGAGCTATATATAGCCTATAGCGGTCTCTACAAACTTTAGCTTTAAATAGGCTGTTTTCCAGGACCAAAGTGTGTGGAAATGAGCTCTTCATGAAGGGTATCTCTACCCTTCATGTGGAACTGACAGACTGAAGTGAAAGTGGCTAATCTACATCTTACAACATTTCCAAACACGCCTTGCATTTTCAGGCCAGAGCTGTCATGCAGTTATTACAGTCACCAAGAACAAGAACGCATTAAAGCAGGTCAAATGTCAGCTTTGACGAATGAGGCTTGTGGGTGCATACTAATTCTAGAAACATTTCCTGTAGTGACACACTGACTTTTCTGGCAGTTATTTAACGCTAACCTCCATTCGTTTGACATATCCAAATTTATTCCTTTAAATTGTACATAGTTGTCAACATTAAAATTTTTACAGTTTTATATTTAAGAACTTTGACTTTCATTAGTCTAATTCATTTAATGAAAAACGCTCTTGGTTAAATCACAATTTTCAAAAAAAAGTATATTTGTATAATTATCTACAGTATCAACATCTGAAAAATTGTCAGATAAACTTTTGTTGTCAGTTCTACAGGAACAAAACTATACTCCTACAGTATGTCAACAACAATCATCTGTAATTAAATCATAAACGAATTAGAGGAAAATTAATATCGGCTTGAATAAAGCTGGTTTGCTAGTATTCAGTGCTTAAGGTGAGAGTAAGTGCTTAGAGTTTAGCTTCCTATGAGGAAAAACAAAGTCTCGGGCTCACGAGTTTGTCTAAAGCAGCTACAATCTCAGAGTTTGCTGACAACTTGTGGATGACTGACAGCTGCGGGAAAACCGCCATCAAAGGCCGCTTTCAGGACTTCATCCAGAGTGCTGGCGAAAACAAAATCCAGGTCAGCTCGCACATGGGCAGGTATCTCCTCCAGATCTTTCTCATTGCGCTTGGGGACGATAACTCGTTTCAGATTGGCTCGATGAGCTGCCAAGACTTTATCCTTTATACCTCCCACCTGTAGAGAGACAAGATATATCTCGTGAGATATCAGCAACTTCCAATGATGAATGGTTTTGAAATAAATTCAGTTTCTGTGAAGGATGTGCTTTGGGTTCCTCACCGGCAGCACCAGTCCTCTCAGAGTGATCTCTCCAGTCATGGCCACATCAGAGCGCACCAGCCGCCCGCTCAACAGCGAAGCCAGGCACGTTACTATTGTAACACCGGCGGAGGGTCCGTCCTTGGTAACGGCACCTGCTGGGAAGTGCAAGTGGATATCGGTACCCTCCAGAGGATCAGCGCTGCCTACAACAACATCATTCAAACACATGAATCAGTCTCGCTCGCTGTTGAAAATTCTTTGCCATCACAGGAATAAATGACATTTAGAAATATATTAAAATAAAAAAAAAGTTATTTTGTTAATTGTAATAATATTCACAAGACTTCTTTTAAAACATTTGAAATTGTAATCGTAGTGTATGTCTGTAACTTACCATTAGTAAGGAGGTAGGTTTTGGCATTGCTGCGGAGCCAACTGATAGCTAAATGGGCCGATTCCTTCATGACATCGCCCAGCTGTCCCGTCAGAGTCAGCTGACCTTCTCCTTCCATACGACTGGCCTCCACAAACATGATCTCTCCCCCCATCGGAGTCCAGGCCAGCCCGATCGCCACACCTGGCAGGGTCAGTCGCTCCGAGACCTACAAACTTAGACAGCTCTGGTTACATACTTAACATACTTATCTTAACGTCAAAAAAATTACACATATAAATGTTTAAAAACACAGCAAGCTTTTTCTTTTTTTCTTCCCCCTTCATATATGTGAAGTACTTAATGGAAATACACTGAATGGACTGAACTTTAAGGACTTAAAATGACAAACTTATATTGGCTGTTTATTAGTACTTATAAAGCACATATTCTGCAGCATGACCATATTCTACATCCCTAATCCTAACCAATACTTAAACTTAACAACTACCTTACTAGCTCTTAATAAGCAGCAAATTAGGAGTTTATTGAGGCAAATGTTGTAGTTAATTGTTAATACCGAGAATTGGACCTTAAAATAAAGTGACCAACGTTTCTTTCAAAAACGTTACCTTTTGTTTGTTTGTATACTTGGTAAACTAACTGCATTAAGTCGAGTGCTAACGTAAGTTTTCAAAGGAGAAGATGTGTGATAGACTGCCTCTGGTCTCTCCCATAGGCATAGCAGGAATGCAGCCTCCATTACGGAGAAGAGAGAGCACTTCTCCTCTGAGAAACTCAACAGCGCAGCACAGCACAGCACATCGAAGATCGAAGAACCACACACAATTAATGACAGGACCGCACTGAAAATGACTTCAATTTAAAAGAACACAGACTACTAGGCTTTTCTGAAGAACATGTAGGTGATGCTTGCTCATTCAAAACTTGCTGTCGTGATGCTCGGATGTTTTGGTAGTTGCTATGCCATTGCTATGATGTTCTGGGTGGTTGCGAGAGCCTACTCCCAAATCCTTATGATATGCGGGTCCCTAGACATACACTACCATTCAAAGGTTGGGGGTTGGGGAGATTTTTGAAAACGTGAAGACTCTTTTTCTCATCAAGGCTGCATTTGCTTAATTTACAATAACTGTTTTCTATTTAAATATATATCTTAAAATGAATTTTCAGCAGCTGTTACTACTGTCTTTAGTATCACACGACCCTTCAGAAATCATTCTAATATGCTGATTTGGTGCTCAGGAAACATTTATTATTATTGTAAATGTTGAAAACCGTTATGCTGCTTAATACTGAATTGTCTCCACAAAAAATGCTTTTGAATTTCTTATAATGATCATGCACAAAAGTGGAGAGACTTGAAGTGCTTTCTATGCATTTTAGAAACATTTCCTGAATAGACACTAGAGCCTTCAGGCATTTATTTGATACTAACCTCCATTTCAAATACTGGCGGCCCGAGAATATCCTTAAGGGCAATGTGGTCAATAACAATTGGCATCTCTGGAGGTGACGCTATCCCAGAATCCTCCTCCTTGTTCTCTGTATTCTGGTCTGAAAGATACAAAGATCTTTCATGGGAAACTGGTGAAAACATTGATGGAGTTTTTAGTCAATTTAAAACTCTGGTGTGTCAATATATAAAAGAGATAGGTGATTGACATTTCATGAACTAAAAGTAAACTCCATTTAAGCAGAGATAAAGCCATATTCAGAAAAGTGAATTACAAGACAAAAAAAAAGCTATAAAATTTTATCCCGCTGGCACTTCCATTATCGTGTCTATTTGAGGCTTTTCATTAAGGAAGGTGACAGACATTGAGGCCGGAGGGGAGAAAAGTGAAAAGAAAAGCGAGAAAGAGAGCTGTCTGAAATAAGGGAGAATTATAGGCTGTAGAAAAATGCCACAGGGGTCCAGCTAAGGGGAGAGCAGGTGCTATCTTAATTTTGGGAGGAAACAATAAGGGATTATAGGTTTTAATATCATATATAATAAAGAAAGCAGCTTCAGGGTGTATTTACTTTCAGCGTACATCCATGTGTCTATTTTTTTTTTAATGTGTGTGTTGTGTGTTTGCCCTTGGCAAGACACACAATTATATACATGCCCCTTGATGCCCACAAGTCATGTGACTAGACTGTCAATGACATGCAAAGGAGGAGCATCATGTTCTGAAGAACAAATGAGGAAAGTGCATATGCCATTCTGAGGAAAGGCATAATAATGATTTATAAGATTTTGTTGTGCATGATCAGCGCACATTTTCTAGGGGGAAAAAAGTTGCTTTCATAACAATTCATCAAAATGTTGTACCTTTCTCCACCTTATTTTCTGCTGACAAGCCAAAGCAGACCAAGACAAATAATATTAACTATATTATATTG